GACCAAATAGATGGCGAGGAACAGCAGGATGAGGTAGATCCGGCCATGCGTGATGTTGGAGAAACCCAGAAAAACAAACTGTGTAGCAAGAGTCTGGTTCCTGAAATCCATGGGAATGCAGGGAGTGTGTGTGGCAAAGATGCTCAAGGAGAACAAAAGAACCCCCAAATGAGATTTTTCTTATTTCTACATAAGTACCTCTTGAGCAATATTAGACCTTGAATCTTCAGATTTTGAAGTGAAGCAAAGAGTTTGTAATTATTGGACTTGATAGAAATGCAGGAGCTCCACCTTCATTACTTTTGCTTCTATAAGTTGAAGGCTTTTCATTCTAGGGAATCTGCTGTGATGGTTCAGAGCGGGCACTCCTTTCAACCAGGGTCCAGCTAATGCCAAAATCAAAGACAGTTTTGTCTTTTCCACAACTTTGGAAATGATCCTCCTTTTGTAAAATACCAGGAGTAGAAGCAGTGTGACCTAGCAGGGGAAAAACGGGGCTGGGAGGAAAAATAAAACAACATCATTATCATTTGTTCGGAAGCATGATGTTAGATCTACCTCATGGCCACATCAAGGAAAAGGAAACCATGGCAATCTTTGTCGTTGCAGTTCCCAATTCTCGCTCTGCCTGGCTCTCCAGGTGTGCCCACTTCCCTTCAGATAACAGGAGCTCCTCATGGGTTGCAGGAACATCTGAGAAGCCCGCGTCCAGGTCTTGGATCCTAAGAATGAAGAAAGCAGTTTCATGGATTGGTAGAGAATGTGGGCCGTCACCAGCGGAGGGCACATGGGACAGAGGAACATTGCAAAGGCTGGGAACTGGATTTTTTCTTTTGGAAATTTTTCCTTTAAGATTGAGATACTGTGCTATTTTGAGTCTGGAGAGAATTTTGAGGCCTTGGGGCAACTTTGCAAAGTTGCTTGGAGTGTGGTTAAAATATACACAACTAGCTAATATTTCATGGATGCTCCAGCGCCATAAGCCAGGTGGATCAGGCCTATTCTGACCCTGGCTTAAATATACCTCCTTAAACCTTGTGGCATATACTGTGTAAACCAATCCCTGGGCGAGGAAGGCTTTTCGGCCACCAGGACGCATGCGTAAATGTCATAGTTGAGAAATAGGAGCCGCTTCAATGGCCAGCTGCAGCCGTGTGGGCAGTGGTGCAACGCAGTGCGCTGTGCTAAGAAGGAGCTTCACGAAACTAAAAAAGCTCTGGCTGAGGAGAAACAGAATGTGGGGAATAAGAGTCACTTGCAAGGAGGTCAGACTGTGACTTGGAACAAGCCGCCTCACATAACCTCAATCTAGCCCAGCAACCTAAGACGTTTCACTTTACGAAGTAACCTAAAAAAAACAATCTCGGCAACTTCACCGACGAATCCCTTGGAGGAAGGTTTGGAAAAGGCCGAGAGCCTTGAACTGCTGGGGGCTGAGATTCGGTACCAGCCAAAGGAAGAAAGGAATCCATGGGAACCCGCACTGACCTGGACCAGATTATTAATTTGGGGGGAGGGGAGCATTATCACGCTTCTCTTTTCTCCTCCCCCCCCCCATCTGTGTTTTGCAGGATATCCCTGTGGCAGCTTGATCTGGATAAATGGTAATCACCCTTCCTTGACTGACTGATGCTTCTGTACCCGTGGTTGCATTCATGGATGTGACTCTGGCCAGGTAATGTCCAGTGCGTCGGTGACTCACAGTTCCCCACCCTTATTCCTACTGGGGATGAGTTTGTCCCACAAATGCCAGCTTCACCCTGAAACCTACCAAACATCAGCATATCGAACAGAACAAGGAAGTGAGGTGCAAGTCAAAGTGCAGCATGATAGTCTGCACATCTTGGCCGTCTCCCACAAAACAGGAGACTCGTATTGGTTAGCCATGTGCATTTTCTAATTGGCATCATTCTATATAAGGGGGTTGCATCTTTTCAAAGTTTGAAAAGATGACACCTCTGGCATTGTAATAAACAATTTGTGCTTTAACGGAGGGTGTACCCTGGGGGGAATTTGTGAGGGAAAGTTCTCCTACACTTCTTCTCTTGCCGTCTTCTCCACTTTGGGAAATCGTTCTGGAATCAAGGAGCTGCAAGACAAGTTTTGGTGACTATCTGATCACTACCTTGAATAAACCCTCTGCTTACATCACTTGGGAAAATCATGTTGATCAGTGGTGTGCACCTAAGATTAGTTGTGCTGGGACTGAATAATGTATTAAAGAGACAACTGTATTCAATCTTTGAGTCAAGGAACCTATGCAATTGTTGTTTAACGTTGGAACTAATGTCCCTCAATGTATGAATCATAATTTAGTTATACTGTGTGAAGATGTCCTTGGATTGAATCTCATCAGCTTCCTTGCCTGTCATGTAACAAACAATTAGGAAAATGTACCTCTGTGAGGTTCCTGCATCCAGGGTGCTGCTCTGAAGGGGGACCTTGGTCAAAACTTTGCCCAGTCAAAGCCCATCTTTGGAGCAGGACATTGTCTTAGGAGGGATAGAAAGGGCTGGGTTGTCAGGAGTTAAATCTGTTGTCCCCTCAGAGGGGAGAAACTCTTTGCCATGTCTGAGATCCCCTAAATGGAGATTCCCGGGTTGAAGCTTGCATTCCTGGTCAGTCACTTCCCTCTCCCTGAAAATGCCTCTCTCTCCTTCCAGGGTCTCCCTGGAAAGTACAAAAAGAGGATGCTGGATGGACCACGAAGCAACTCACCTGTGGCTGAAGCAGATTACCTTCTCCCCATGTTCTCCCACAGTCGGGGTTTAGATGCAGTGAGAACGGAGGTGGCTCAGCCAGACGTCTGCCAACAGGGCAGGAAGGGAGATCCTGGGGAGCTCATTCTCACAACGAGGGCAAGTCTCCCAGTTGCCTGCATTATCCATGGCAGGTGGTGCTTGTGGGGAAAGATGTGCCTTGGCGTGTGGGCCCTGAGAATATCCCTGCCCTGGATTCTGCAGGGAGTAAAGCTGGGAGGGCAGGTAGCAGGGACCCTCTGGGGCAAAAGGCTCTCATCTGGGACTTGTTAACTGGCACAGGGTTCATTGAATTGTGTCAGGGCTGCGGGGGGGGGATGAGGAGGAAGGAAGAGGGCAAAGCAGACTAGTTTTGTTCTACATCTGAAGCATAACTGGGCAGGAAGAGCAATCAGAGTCCTTTGGTTTTGAGTTTCTGTTTTTAAGCGATGCTCTACAAATGGATCCAAGAGCATTTTTCTGACCTGCATTTCTGGGGCTACATTCACACAGCACGTTCAAACTATTCACTGCCTTAACCCATTTTGGGGTGCGCAGAACTCTCTCGGCCAGAGCAAAATCCTCTTGTTCTAGATTGACATCTCACTCTTTGCGAACCCTTCGTTTCCTGGACTTCCTCTGGCATTGACACTGGACTGGCGAATCTTGTACATGTGTCCAGTCCTCTTCCTGTCTCTGCAATGGGCTTGGGGTGACCTCAGACCGCCCTCCCTGCACTCATCTTGTGTACTCCCTGCTTCTGACCTCATACAGCTTCTAACTTTCTCAACGAATTCCTCGCAACCTGGCCTCCTTGATCAGACTTGCCACATATAGGCCTTCAGAGGTCATGACCAGTGCCTTGAATGGCACCTGGAAGCATACTGGTCACCAGGGCACCCATAGAGCAGGGCTGTCACGTGGGCATCCTGAGGCATGCCCCTCACTGCCTGCATCACAGCATCCTGGACCAGTTGAAGCTTCTGAGTGGTCTTCAGTGGCAGCCCCATATAGAGTGTGGCAGTAGTCGAACCATGAGGTGACTAGGCTATGAGTGACTATCTGAAGGCCTGCCTGATCCAGGAATGGCTGCAATGGTGCACCGGATAAAGTTGTCAAAGGCCCCTTCGAGCAGGAGCTGTGAGTCCAGGAGCATCCCCAGATTGCTCCCCAACCTTGAATGGGGGATTGTGACCCCATCCAAGGTTAAAGAAGGAATATC